TGAGAAACTTCATGAATTAACGAAAGCCAAAAACCTAGGTCAATACCCAGAACAGAGTAAGAGGTCAGTAAATATTAGATGATATAGTGATGTCACTATGTCACTATATGGTTCATAGTATGTGTAATTTATTTTAGTGCAACACAAGGAATGGGGAGGAGAACGGAGCTGGACTGCCCAGTGTGGCTGTGCGGGGCGGGGCACAGGCTGGGAGGGCCCAGAGACCGAATGCCAATGCGGGGCGTTGCACTCCCTGCTGAGGAAGGGCGGGGCATCGTGGGGTTAAAAATAGCAAGCGGGAAGAAGCCGCTAAGTCCCATGCAAGTGTGTGTTGTGATTCCAATACGTTTCTGCGGTTGCCTTTTCTATGTCTGTTATTTGTGGGGGACCGTCCTCTCGGTTGCCAGAATCCAATAATATAATACACACATGCTTTTGCCTGATTTTGCCAGTCTTCTGCTCTGAGACTTAAGAATGTGGGAAATTAAGTGAATTCTGGTATCCATCAGAGACCACCAGAGGCACTCAGAGAATCTTAAATCAGAAGCAGAAAGGAACCAGTCCACTTGCATCTTGAATTTTCTTTTAAAAAGCTGCCCTCTCTGGCTTTGCAGCTGGGACTTCAATATTTTATTCAATGACTATGTGACGTGACATATTTTAGAACTGACAGCGGTTCAGATGAATTAGTCAAATCTGGGATGAGTCAGCTACATGGGGCTTTTGTTTCCTGAGAACTTAACCTCTTTCCCCGATGCTGGCCTGTCTCCAAAACCACTTCCTTCCACAACAGTGACATTTCTCTGCACAGGTACCTGTGTTCAGAACAGTGATCTCAAGCCAACCTCTCAAATCAGAGGGTCTCAGAATACTGGAGTGGGGGAAATCCCGAGAGAACTCTCACTGAATAGATGAGAAAACCAGGGACAAGGAGACACTTGCCCAAAGTCAAAGAGCGAAGTTTCCGCACAGCTAGAATTAGCATCCTGGCTTTGAAACAGCTCATTCCATTTCCATTTATGACTCCACAAGGATTCTCAGCTTCACTGGGGTAATTCCAAGGCAAGGAGCAAATTTTCCCTCTATTTCTCTCCTCATCAAGGAAAGTTAAGAACACTGTATTTCAAACGCTTGAATAAAAGAACCTCATGGCATTAGAAAGAGAATCTTGCGTGGTAAAATCACAATGCAAACAACAGGACTTGACTGGAGCAGATGGGAAGGAGAGAGGCCTAGTGGGGCTGTACCTGCCTAAAATCTCCAAAAGCGTCGATGTGAGACCCACGTGTGGCCTCCCGGGCATCCATCACACACCGTGATGGCGTGGACAGTGGCTGACAAGGGCCCAAACCAGAAACCACTCTTTGGGCTTTCTCAACATGGTACCCCAATGGGAAATAAAGCATTTACAGAAGATGCGATATTCCAACATTTTAAAAAAGAAAAAGTTTTAAAGATATCTGCATGCAGATTTTGCTTTCAACACTTCTAACCTTTTTTAGACTATGATACTTCTGGTTTCTAGCAGGCCAGGAGTGTGATCAATAGACTGCACCATCCTGAGGCTGCCCCAGGGAAAGCTGGGCAACGGAGTAACCACCTGCTCACCCACTGTGATCGCCTGTTCTCCTCCCTTCCCGCCAGCTTGAGGTCATCGCTCGGGGGCGATAGCACTATGAATTTCAGCCAGAAATCTTTGAAAAATGGTGGAATTTTCTGGCCTTGTAGAAAGTAGCCTGCTTTCCTGACCTGTGTAATTTTCAGTCTGGTACACCGAGGGTGTTTCTGATCAGGTTCAAATGGAGCTGGGTGTCACAGTGGGACCTGTATCAGAGAGATGAAGCTCTGTACCAGACAGAGAGCTGGGTTCCCACCTACAAGAGACCCAAGCAGGCTCCAAATTTCCTTGAGTCAAATCGCTGAGGCTTAGAATCAACCTAAAATCAAGGATCAAGGTTGTTTTTTTATCTGTTTGTGTGAAATCAGGCTTCTTATAAACACTATTAATTTCCCGCTTCTGTTGGGGGTTTCTAGGCACTAAAATGAGATTTCATTTTGTGATCTATTCTTTTGTCCATTTAAAGCAATTGTTCTTGAGCCTGACCGTGCAAAAGACTTACATGGAGCGCTCATTAAAAAACATAAATTACCGGGCTCCCCACCTGGGTCCCTGAATCCAAATGTCCTGGAATAGAGACCTGGGAATCTGTATATTAAAAGCATCCCAGATGACTGTAGTGCCCAGAATGGAATCATGTATTTACATATTTCCTCCCTTCCCTCTGTCCCTCCCTTTTTGCGAGCTGACCTCCAGAGCTAAGCACTGTATCTAATAGTTTAGGAAGAGAGACAACATTCTCAGTTCCAAACTACTAACAATTTGCAATTAGCATTTTGGAAGAAAACTTCTCTGTAAATCTGAAACTTCTTGTGTAGCTAATGGCACTATAGAGAATTTTCGAATCAGAATTAGAAAGGTGGTTATGTTCTTTCATCTTGAAGATATCTAGGGAAATAGACATAGATCTAATTCTCATGCCTTATTTGAACTTTTTATCGTATTGAAAATGGCCCAGACATAAAAAGTTAAAGTGAGGGAAGGTAATTTAAGGGGGAAAAAGGGGAGGGATTTGGAGGAACAAATAGGAAGGACACAGAAATGAGAACTAAGGGGGGTGGAAATGGGAGGGAGGTGGGGAGCATGGAGTGAGGGGGGGGAGGCTGGGATGGGAGAAATAGACAAAAAACTGTACTTGAAAAATAACTAAATAAAATTTTTTTTTAAATTAGGGAAAAAATAAAAAATAAAGCATATGACATGACAAAAAAAAAGTTAAAGTGTGACCTACATCCTATATACACACAAAGTTCTGAGTTAGGATGCTATTATCTTTTCTTGTTCTAAACTAAATGACCCAAATTTCCCTTAATTTTCCTTGTAGGCATTCTCCCTGTTCTCTGGGTACTATTCTCTCTCCTCTCCTGCCTTTTCCAGGTTCTTTGTGTTACTCTTGGCTTGCCAACAGGGACTAAAATACCTTCAGGGTACAACTGCACTAAAATACTTTATAGTTTGAAGAGAGCATATATCTCTTTAAGAGAACCTAATTTGTTGCTGGGGAGGAACTTAGACTAGTGGACCAAAATCTAAAGACTTACAAATTAATGTTGTGCTTCAAGGTCTCCTTTAAAATCTCTTTATTTAGCGGTTCAGCTGCATCTGATCTGTAGACAGTTTCCAAATTCTTATTATATAAAGATCAGATTCTGAATTTTTATCTCTACATGCACAATGCTGCCCCATCCCAAACCTGACCCACGCACGGTTCTTGTTGTAAACAGACTGGTCCCAGGCCTCCTGGCCCCTAGGATTTTCCCAAGTTGGACTGGAGGGTAAACTCCCAGGCTTGCTCCGCCAGGCAGGGGCTCCCTGAAGCAGAGCACACCCACCCCAAGACTTTCACTCAGCACATACCACGGAGCATCTACTTTGCACCAGACCCATTTGTTATGATTATGTAAAGCCAGTAAGAAAGGGCCAGGAAAATAACTGTCACTTTCAACATGAGTAAAGACAAAGAGATCCTGTAGCGTGTCAACTGTCACTGCAGCAGAAAGCACCGTGGACCTGTCACTTTGAGACTTAAAAACAAACCTCCTATGAAACCATTTCTCAGAACTGCCTTTTCCTCTCCAATTTACTGTCGATATTTCCAGTAGTCCTTGGCTTCCTCATCTTGCCTAAGGCGAGCCACTCCTGAGAAGGAACCCCCGAAGCTCAGGACTCTTCATCCTGCCTCTCACCCCACATCTCCTGGGCTTCTAACAGGGAGTCCTTTCCTTGCCTGGGCTTCTGGAGGTACCTGTTCTCACAAGGTTATGCCAGTATTTATAGCATTGATATGTTCTTCTTCCAGTACTACACACACAGACAGTGGTCGAATGTAGGTTTATAGTTGTAAGTACACAAAACCGAGTTTATTCTTGCATTATTATTTATTACTTACTATTTTCCATATGAACCATTGTACACCTACTTTTGCCCACCTCTGTTCGTAGCAAAGTTTAACCAAGCTGCTCAGAGAGCTCTTTAAAGCACATCAGAGCCCAAGCAAATAGGGACACGGCCTCAGGGCATTTCCCCTTTGGTGGCACTTCTAGAGCCCCCCTCACAGTCTTTATTCACTCTGGGGTACAAATGGCTGGTAGCAAACCCCAGGAGAAAGATGCAGTTCTCCAGGGTGAGATTTCAGGCCAAATTTGGTGACACAGGATGGAAGAGAAGAGTTGGTTCCAAAGCCTTCCACTACCTTCTACCACCACCTCGTATCTCCGGACAGGTGTCCTGGGACCTGTCGTGGCTGCCTACGTTGTTGCTCCTGTATGAGCCTGGTCAGCCCGTGGCCAGAGAAAGGTCTGATCTCCCAGACTGACGTGTTCAGAACCTGGCTGAGGACCATAGAGGAAGCACCTCACCCTCTGAGCAGGGAAAGTAGACCACACACGGTGAATTTTTGGAGTGCAGGCACATCAGAACCCATGGGGGCCCTCGTTCAGTGCTCCTGCCCTCTTCGCTTCGATCCCAACACCCTTGCTTACAATTTCCCCACATGAAATCGATCAACTGTAGCACTGAAAACAGCCCCTTTACATGGCAGCACGGACAGCTGACGGCCTGAGCCCAAGAAGGAAAAAGACAAAAGCTGATAGAAAACTCAAAAAGGGGCAATTAGTGAAGGGGCAAGCTGCGTACAACACCATATTGGTCCCTGCAGACATCGCTGAACTGTATGACAGCCCAATACAATAGCTGTTACTCAGAGTAATAATTCTGGAGTCTCTGGAAAAGTTGAAATGGTATGGATGTGCTCCGTTTAGGAAGGTAATTCTAAACTTCTGGATAAAGGGTGACTGCATTGAGCGCAGCCCCCTAGAGGACAGTAGCGGTTACTGCAGGGTGAAACCTTCACCTGGGGGCTGCTGGGCGGGGAACCACCTACCTCTGAATGTTATCTTCGAGTTGTTTGACTCTGAATTCATCCTCTTCAGACTGCCGCCTCCTGGCTTCCTCCTCTTCGGCAGTTCCAGCAGGTATACCCTGCAGCAGCCATTTTTCCCGAAGCACTTTGGACTGTGGGAATGAGAGAAGAGAATAGACCGCGTGACCCCTTTCGGCCCACAGCCTCTGCTCCATCCTCAGAGCCAGTCTGCTGGGCCCCTCGGCAGCTGGGTCCCCTTCGAAGCTGGGACCCCTCCTCAGCAGCCCCCAAACTGCTGCATTCCCCTCCTCTCCAACTTGGCTCCCTGCTTCCTTCCTGCCCAGTCCCTGGAGAGGGGTTTATTCTACATTTTCTACTATTAAAAAAGTTTGAAAGCATACAGAAAAGTGGAGGAAACTGTATAATGAATGCCCAGGTAATCTCATTTAGATGCAACAATTATAAACATTTTGCCACATTTTCTCATACACTTTTTTCACCAACACATAATAAATAACAAAACACGATAGTTCACGCATACATATTTCAGTATGAATTTCTTTTTTAAAAAAGGACATTCTTCTGTGCAGCTATAGTCACATTATAAAATTCCTAAGATCACCTAATAGTCAGTCCATCTAAAAGTCTTCTTTTTAAAAGACGAATCTGTGCCACAGCTCTTCTTAAAAACTCCTTCATGACTGTTACCCATCCTTGGCTGGGGTCCCAGGTGGCACTGAAACCAGGCAGCCCACCTGGGCCAGCGTCCTGATCTATCTCAGAGTGAAAGGAAAAGGGTTTTGTGTTTTGGTCGGTTGTTGGGACACAGTGACGACTGCTTTGAGAAGGGAAACGAGAATAGCTCAAGAAAAAGGCATGTTGAAACTCCCTAAAATGAAGAGCAAAAGGAAGAAAGTAGGGAAAATAATTTGTGATTTGGGTTTCCATTCCTTCCATGGACCCTAGCTCGTAGGCGGTGGCTTCTGGGTATCTGCAGAGGCTGGACGCTGGGCACAAGAGCTCAGTGTCCCAGTGCGTGGGTCGGGAGTTGGGGGAATGGGCCGCTGCGAGGATGCAGAGGCTGCACAGCCAGGTCCACCTGAAACAGGGCACGTGACCAGCCTTTCCCAGCAATGGCGGGCCTGACGGCTGTGAGTCCAGTCAACATAGAGCAACACTGAGCTCCCTGGCTCCCCTCCAGCACCTCCATCAGAATCTTACATAACCTCCGCAGGCAGGGTGAGTGAGGCGAAAGGAAAGGGAGCCCTCGTAATGACTAAGAGTCAGGTCATGCATGGCTCGGAGCCACTTAACATCATTCACAGAAATGAGAGTGGGGTGTGTGTCTAAGATAGTGAACAAAATTCACACTCACTACAATTTCCTTTTTACTGCTCTTATAAGCAAAAAATACACAATTCCAGAGGTACATGGGATTAAGGGCTACTTATTATAGACCTGTAAAATGAGTCTCTAACAATTAGTAATAATGAAGTGGAATTCACTGGTGGTCCCGAGTCCCCATTCTGCGAAGGAGTTCGGCAGCCTTCAGCACTGGGGAGACCCTGCTGACGCACATGAATGAGCAAGTTCTGATGGCTGGGACCCCTGCACCTGCAATGGGACCTTTTGTTAGCAATGTTTGGTCAGTGCGGCGTCCAGGTGGCCATGGTGTTCACTGGTGTCATTCTTGTTTTTAATCATAAGTCCCTGTGGGTAGAGACCTATTTGGTTACTCTTAGAGTGCATAGAGAAGCATGTTTACAGGACTTGACCTGCAGCTTCCCATTAACTAGAGACCCGAGTCTGTTCACATGGAAGGCATTCCTAACCACACTGCTCACGTGAGTGCTGACAGGAACCGACCCCTCACTCCAATATGCTCAGTTACGCCTCACTCACTGGCTGTAAGTGTATTATATATAAATAGTTGGAAAGTATAAAAAAGTACTTAAAAACTTATAGAGTATTTTAAATAATATAAAAGCACGCACAGAAACCCACAGTATAATTTGTTTACTTTGTTGCTTTCACTTCTGGGCTGAATTGAGTGCCCCTCTCAACATTCACAGGTTGAGATCCGAACTCCTACTACCCGAGAATGTAACTGTATTTGGAAAGAGGGCCCTTCAGGTTAAATGAGATCACTGGGATGTGCCCTAACCCAATATAACTGGTGTCCTTACCAGAAAAGGGGTCAGGACACAGACCTGCACAGAAAGACCATAAAGCCCCCGAGGAAGACAGCCATCGGCAAGCCAAGGAGACAGCATTAGCGGAAACTGACCCTGCCGACACCTCCCTCCTGGGCTTCTCGCCTCCAGATTTAAGAGAAAATACATTTCTGTTGGTTAAGCCACCTAGTCTATGATATTTATTATGACAGCCCTAGCAATGACCACATTCTCTGAGGCTTTGTCATTGTCCATGGGAAAATGGGAATGGATGGGATTAACTGGTGGGTCTTGCTAACTGGAATCCAGAAGAAAAAAATATTCGGTGCCACCGTTCTCTACTCTAGCTACTCAAAATCCCGCAGACAGAACACACTCGCATGTACAAGAGGCGTGTCGAACAGCACTTAACAGCCTGGCATCTGGTGCCACTCCGCCACTTATTTGGCTGTGTGACCTGGACAGGCTCCTTAGCCTCACTGAGCCTCAGCGTCCTCATCTGTGAAATGGACACGACAACAGCACCCACTGTGGGCTTGTTATGAGGATTTAATGAGTTCATACATGGAAAGTTCTGGGCCTGTAGTACTAGAGAAATATGGTTGTTTACCCTGTTCCCTTGGCCTCTCCTACTTTCACCTGAAAAAGTGCTTCTTCTGCTTTGGCTGGCAGAGTCCGGGCTCTCTGCTCTGCCTCCTTTGGCAGAGAACATACTCTAGAGCTGGACGTCCCCAACCCATGGGCTGTGGACTGGGACCGGTGTGTGGTCTGTTAGCAACCAGGCTACACATGGCAGGAGGTTAGTGGAGGATGAGCAAGCGAAGCTTTGCTGGCGTTGCCGTCTGAACTCCACCTCCTGTCCCCCCACCCTCCGCCCTGCTTCCCCCCCCCGCCACCCCAGTCTGTGGAAAAGCTGTCTTCCATGAAGCCCGTTCCCAGTGCCAAAAAGGTTGGGGACCGTTGCTCTAGAGCACTCCCATACTGTCCTCAGATTATTTCTTTTTAGATCTTCCTCACCCTAGATTCCCGGCTCCTGAAAGGCTGGAGCTAGTCCTCATTCACCCAGAGAATAAATTAAATGGGTAAACTGAAAAGATCTTGAATTTCTTTCCCTCTAATTACTCGGCGTGGGGGGGAATGTCACACTGTCAGAGTGCTTGCTGTGCTGAAATGTTCCACGGTGACGTCGTTCAATCCATAGAAGGTAAACACCTTGTTAGCATCTGGTGAGACAGGTATGCCGGTGACCTTGGTCACCGGAAAGGCAGCCACGAACAGTCCTGGCTTCCTGTGCCCAAGCAGGGATGTTCTGAAGCCAGGGCTTCATGAAAGGCAAGAAAGCGCTGCCCTTGGGAATGCTGCCTCTGCTCTCGTCCACCGTCCACCCGAGGAAGGGTCTAACCCCCTCATTCAGGCTGAGTCAGCCAGGCCATTAGTCTGTACCTGTGACAAAAGTAACCTGTGACCGTGAATACAGGAAGCTCATGTGCCCCCAGATCTGTCCTTTCTCTGGATACAGCAGTGACGTCACTCAAACACCCCCCACAGCTAGACCCAGGAAGAGAGGGCCTAACAGAACAAGACAGCAGGCCTGCTCTCAGGGAAGACTGTTTCCTGTAGATGCTCTGACATCACCCAAACAAGAGCAGACTGGACGTTTGCACCTGGCTCCAGAGTAATACTGTCAGGGGAAACCAAGTCAAATGCATCTTCCTCCAAACGCTTCCCTGGAGGCGTCTCTGACAGCCGACTGCGTAGGAAGGTCTCTCTGAGTACTTGAACATTTGAGCTGAGACCTGAGATGATGCACGTGGGCATTCTGACCACACCCCCCCAACAAAGCACCTGCTGCCCTTTCCGTTCCGGGTTTTACTGGCTGCCCAAGTGTCTCAGAATTAGGTGGCAAGCAGAGCTCAGCAGAAGTGGAAACTAAAATGAGAAAGGTTTTTTTTAACGCCCTTATTGTCCAAATAACACACAACAAAAACGTATCAGAGCCTACAGGTGCTGAGAACTGTCAAAACTTCGCATTTGTCAAGTGGATACAACTGTGAAGGGTGGAGACGAGGGAGGAGCGGACGAGAGCCGGCAGCGCACAGACGGAGCCGTGACAGGGGTTCCTGGAAAGCACACGGAGAGCGCTCCTAAAGTGCATCTGGCCCTCACTCTGCGGGGCCTGTCCAGCTTTGTCATTCAAAACGAGAACAGAGCCTCAAATGGCAGGGTGCCTACGGATCCTCAGGAGAGGGCCAAATAAACCAATTCCAGAGCCCCACCCCCACAGCCGCCGATTCTGGAAGTCCGGAGCAGGGCCTGGGAATCTGAATCTTAAGAAGCTCCCAGGTGCTGCTGCGGGTGACGCTGCTGGTCTGAGAACCACAGGATGAGTAAGCATAGCATGAGGACCTGCGACTGTCCAAATGCCTGAAGAATGCATACGCTTTCCCACTGGCTAGCCAAACACACTAACCCCAAAAGGGACTCCTCATTCTCTTACAAACCTGTTTGTCTTCCTGTACCCCCATCTCAGGTGCAGCAGTGCCCCCATCCAGGCCCTACGTGCCAGGCTTTCTGCCAGGTCCTGAAGACACCACTCAGGAGGACAGGCAAGTCCCTGCCCTCCCTGAGCCTTTGTCCTAATACGCAAGGATGAAAGACAATTTCAGACCATGATACAGGCATGGCAGGAGGTAGGCAGGATGATGTGACAAATAGGGACCAAAGGAGGACACTGTAAATGGGAAAGGTCTCTCTGAGTATGTGAACACTTGAGTTGAGATCTGAGATGCAGGGTAGGGCATTCCTGGTGGACAGAGTGGCAAATGCAACAGCCCAGAAATGGGAGCAAGCAGTGCGTTTGTGGACCAGAGAGAAACCTCTGATGGCTAAACCATAATGAGTGGGGCTGGATCAGGAGGCATGGAAGAGTTGAAGATGGAGAGGAAGGCAGGGATCAGACCAGGTAGGATCCTATAGCC